GAGGTGTACCGGCTTGAGTTAAATCTCTGATAACAGAATCGATAACAGTAACGTGTTGTATTGCCTCTTACCTTGTGATGCCCTCCGGATATCTGAGGCGTCCGGAGGGTTTATTTTAGATGAAAAAAGCTTAGATGAAAAAAGCTTGGATGAAAATAGCTTAGATGAAAAAAGCTTAGATGAAAACGACCCTTTTTTAGAAGAAAAAAGCTTGGAAGAGAAATGACCACTTAGATGAAACCTGCTCATGGCCGTTAGAAGAAAAAAGTTTCGACGAACTGGGCTCATCTCGGCCCGCTCCATCTAGTTCCTATATACAACATCCTCACGATGATTCGGGGGGTCTCTCTCAGACTCTGTTTCCCGTCCCCGCCGCCGAGCTCGTCGCGGGGGTCACCGGTGCGGCTGCTACCCTGTGAATGGGCGACCCGGAGTGCCCGAAGGCGAGCCCCACCCCGCCCGGCGCCGGCACGGCCCTCGCTACCGCCCCGCCGCGCCCCGCCGCGCCCCGCCGCGCCCCGCCGCGCCCCGCGCCCAGCTGTGACCAGCTGCGACTGCTGCTCCAGATGTTCCGCCCCACCCCCGGGCGTCTACTTTTGCCGATAATGGCGGCGGCACTGTTTATGCCACCGCGCCTTATTCCCTGTTTTTGTTTGTCCTGATTAATGCCCCGGGCCGCCGGCCCGCGTGCACCTGCACCCCGGGCGGGGCGGGGCGGGGCGGGGCGGGGAACATGATCCAGCGCCGCGGTACAGTAAGACTCAAACACACCTGACCAGCCCCTAAACTCAATGCTGAAGGCTTCCGTTGAGCTCATCGTATGCGGCCCCTTTCCCTGCAAACTCGTTCGAACGACGAAATTCCCAACTTTACTGGTGAAAAGATGTGAAAAGGTCGTAAGTCCAATGGGAAGTCTGAGGACTTACGCCCATTTCACTTTCCACCAGTGACTTTTGTCCCGCATTATTGGGGAATGAAAATACGCACGCGAGTTTTGATGTGAAAATGTATTTTGTTCGCCCCCGGACGCAGGTGGCTTATACCTTATACCCGCGCCCGTGCTGTGACCGTGGAGCCATGCGAAAGGCGCGACGGCACAGCCCCGCCCCGCGGCATAGCGTCCACCACGGTGGCGTCCACTGAGTCCACCGAGTCCACCTCGCGCTGTGGTTGCGTGCCTACGCCGCGCCGGCGGCGAGATCACCGTGCATCTTCCATCTGCGCGCTCAGCGAAAGAACCTTTTAGAGGGAAGGTGTTCGTTGGGGAGTAATAGGTGGCTCCAGTTCAGTTGAACAACCCGTCGTAATAACCCTTTTTGAAGCTGAAGTTGAAGAAGTGTCCGTTGTGGAGGATTTGACGCCAGTCTGTGTGTTCGGAGGTCGGCACCCTTCCTCGACTGAACTGGGCGTACTTGTCACGAGCGGGCGCCGGGGCGCGAACGCTGTGCGGGCTGGCTCCCACGGCTGGCAGGGGCATCATGCCGTGGGGCTGAACTGAACGTGCCCCGGGGCCCGCTCACGGGCTCAAGCGGTCCAGCCGCTGGGGAAGGATCTGCTGTGCGTTGTGTCCTTGCCGTGGGGAGAGAGAGAGAGGGGGGGGGGAGGGGTCACAACGTTGTCTGCTCGCAGTCCGTTACAACCAGCAGCTCTCGAATACGCGGATACCCGCGAAACTAAAATTAAACACGCGCTTGGAGAGTAGGTGACCCTCCAGTCTACACCCAACTCATAAGCATGAACTTAACTAATTTACACCATTCCAGCACAAGTCAAAAACCAGGGTTCTTAATTTGATCGAACCTGATTTATTCTGATTACTTTCATATGTTGCTTTGTTTGTTTGGTTTGTTTTTCACACAGTGATTTCAACACAGTGATTTGTTGTACAGGGTGGAGTAGCGACGCTGCGACGATCAAGAACGGATCCCAATCCACCGGCTCAGACAACTGTGATTTGAACACTGCCCTGAGGAGAACTCCGCAAAAATGGTGCGTCAAGTAAAGGCATCTATTAGGGAAATTTTGTAAAAGATGTCTGAAATTGCCAAAGAGTCTGGCAGATGAACTATTTCTTTTTTATATATCAGAAACATTATGCACCCATAAAAGCAGTTACTTGAAATCAAGTGTGTTTTACTGAAACAAGTGCATGCGCTCGAATAAACTGGGGCCATAACGGAAAGCACTTGTTTCAAGAAAATGCACTAGCTTCGAAGTACACTGGTAAAACAAGTGTTTAATTTTGCACGTCAATTGACGTCTAAGTTCAAGTGTGCATTTTCTCGACACTTTGTGGTGTCTAACAATGTTATACGTCAATTGGTGTTTAACTTTCGACACTTCCGATACGTCTGGCAGCTGCACACCATATGTTTCCCTATTGACAGCATAGAACTGTGTGTGTCCAAGTGTGCAGAATTTAAACGTTTACAAAACGTCTAAAATTTGCACACCACGCAAGTGTGCAACTTGAGTTAAACACCATGTAATGTGCAAAATCACAACTTGCACACGTTGGTGTGCAAATATTGCACACTTGTTTTACCAGTGTACCTGTTATATTTTTGTTTGGTGTGAAATAGCGCTGCCACGATCGGAGCGGTGCATTGACTGATTTCCTGTATTTTCTGTGCTGACTGTATAACCGTGGTCCCTTCCAGAACTTGGAGCAGCTGTCGGACGACTTTCTACTGACGGTGCTGCGGGAACTCCCCCTCCGAGACGTTCTCGAGTGCCGCCGCGTGTGCCGGAGGCTCGGGGCCCTGGCCCTCCATCCGCGCGTGTGGCGGCACCGGATCTTCGGCACGGCCGACCCGCTGCGGTTCCCCGCGCTGCGCGTGGCGCCGTGTGCCGCGGGCATCACCATCTACCTGCCCAAGCCGAAGCTGTTCCCGCTGTACGGCTCGACCAGGTGCGCGGTCGCGGCGCTCACGCTTTTGGTGAAGGCGGGCGGCTTGCCGCAGGCCGCCGCGGTGATCCGCCACCAGCAAGAGCTCGGCCGGCTCAACCAGATTTATCTGACGCTGATTTCGAGTAATGCCGGTGAAGACGAGTTCGTGCTGCTCTGGACGGCAGCGTCGGTGCCCGGGCTGAAGTCGTTGACCGTGTCGTGGCACAACGACAGGGAATTCGACCGGTGCCCGATGGTCTTTGGGCCGGTGTTTCATTCCTCCCTCAAGTACTTCTACTGCTGGGTAGGTCCGGGACTGGAGCTCTTTTTCAACTTCGTGCTGGACGGCCATGCTTCCACCCTGGAGGTGGTGGACCTCGTCGGCGGCGACCTCACGACCGTGACTTCGCCCTCGACGGCGCCGCTCCTCGCCAGCTTGCCGAAGCTCCGCCGGCTTGCCTGCCCTCCCCTGCCCGACATGGAGGCGGTGGCAGCCTGCGAGCTGCTGCGGGAGATCCTGCTGTACGTGACAACGCCAAGCCTGCCGTTTGCACCGGCGGCCGCGGTGTTTCTGGGGAACGCGAAGCAGCTGACCAAAGTGAACCTGAAGTATCATACCGATTCCAGCAACACCCACGCCAATGACCTGGTCAGGGCGTTGGTCTTGTCCGGACCCTCGCGAGTAGAGTCGTTAACGATCAGTACCGAAGACGGCTATTTGGAATTCCCTCAGCTGCAGCCGCTGCCCCACGCCCTGCCGCTGATGCCGGCGCTGCGGAAGCTGAGTGTTTGGGCAGCGCCCGATGAACTCCTGCTGGCAATCACGCCCGCCACGGCTCCGGCCCTGCGGACGCTGAAGGTGTTCCCGCTGGGGCCGAGAGACCAGGATAGTGGGTGCGCGCACTCCTGCCTGCACAGGGAGCCGATGCAGACCGTCTTGTCGAGGAACCCGGCGCTGACGCTCATCGCGTACTGCTCCTACTACTGCGGTCCGAGTTTATCCTGCGAGTGGTGCGAGGAAGGCTGCCACCGAGAGGTGTGGAGGAAGGAATGGGAGGGCGGATGGGACGGGAGTGGCTGGGCGGTCGACGAAGGTGACCCCTGTCCGCTCACTGATTGGATCCCCATCCCTAGAATTAGATTCTGTCGTTAGTGATTGAGTTCGTTCAAACGAAAATTTTCGTTGATTTAACGATTTAGTTAATTAGTACTTTTGCATATGATTTATGGAAAATTTGTTTAGATTTACGATGCCGAGGTGTAGTTTTATTTTTGTTGGCGTATACACACCTGCAATTGATTAACAAAAATTACTTTGGTCACAACTGATTCTTGTTCATTTTTCTCTTTCTCGTGGCCATTTTGAACAAAATGAATTACACAGATAGCAGTTGACTTTGTAATGGAAACCTTGTGGATCAGGGAACATGTCACTTGCCTTTTATCTATATATTTCGAATTTAAGTGTAATAAGACAATTTTTTTTTAATTATTTATTTTCATAATTTATTTTTATGATTCAGACGTGATCTAACTCTTGTATCCGGACATGCTCGTAACTGGTGTGCTCTATGTGTGTCAACATTTGACGTTTGCCTGAAATAAACTTGGTTATTACCAAGATCAAGTTATTATTTAGCATTTTATCTGTCGTCTAGCGGATCTCAACCCGGCCATGCTGCACTGCTCGGCTGTCGCCCTTCTCTTCTGCCGTGTCCCTCTCTTCACTTCCTCCCCCTCTCCCCCATCTCCTCGATCCCTTCCTCACCCAACTCGGCAGACACGCGGCCCCGGCTCTCCACCCGACCGTGGGATTTTTGCCATCTGTATGAAAATTAGCATGGTAAGTAAAATTCGTGAATAGGGTGGTTTGTTGTTTGGAAGCGGGACGGGGATGGGGTCGTGGACTGCTGAAGGGGGTTGGGGTCATGATGCGGATTGGGGGGAGGGGGAGGGGGGAGTGCACAAGGGGCTGGAGGACAAAGGGGGCCGCACAGACCCCACTAGCGGCGCGGTATGGACATTCCTGGAAAATCTTCTTCCAGTTAACTGGATGGCAGTCTGGTTTTAATTCCAGCGCCATTAAAAGAAGAGGCGGGTTTGGAGGGGAGAAGAGGAGGCGAGGGCGAGGGTCAGTCGGCGGGGGCGCGGACACAATTCGTCAGCAGCAACGATCCCCCCCTCCCCGCAGCCGTACGCCAACGACATGAACCAGGCTCCGGCCCAGCAGCAGACCGCCTGCACGACGGCCGCCGCTGGCAGGATCCTGGCCAGACGCGCGTCTCTGGCGGCGTGGCG